AGAAGTCCAAAAGAAGACATTTGATATTTATTGGAGAACAGAAATAAAAAAATGGGAAAAAATCAATAAAACAGTATAGTAAATTCATGAAAAAAAAGAAAATGAAAATAACCCCAAAAAAGTGAAGAAATGCCAATGTGGGATTTGATGGGATTTGAAGAAAATGATTTGGTGAAACTCTAGGGTTTGTTCACATGTCAATTGAGATTTGAGACTTCAGAGTTAACGAGATATTGGAGTAAGATTGTTTGCAGATCTTTCAATAAATCCCAGATGTTATAACATTTAAACCTTGAAGTTAACTACTATTCCTTCTAAAACCGCAATTGTGCACACAAGAATTCAATAACTCAATCTCTGCTAACTTCAAGCATATTGTAAATTATAATCCAAATACAAATTTACAATATATTTCTTGTTATAAACAAAAAAATCTTTTTTTTTTTTTGAATTTGAGACTTGAGAGTTATAAAGTAAGTTTGTCAACAGCTATTTCAATTAATCCTAAATATGAACATTATGTAAATTTAGTGTAATAGAAAAAAAAAACTTCCATTTTAAGGATGTATGATTTTTCAAATGTTTTAAGTGTGGAGAATCAAGATTATTAGCTGTACAATAAAATGGCAGATGTTGATGAGGAGGATAATCACATCTATGTCCCGAATTAATGGTGTTATCCTTGGAAGATCTACAATATATATTAATTTTCTGTTTATGCAATTAATTAAGAATTATAAGATGCTAGTGTTGACCCGTCTGCTGTACCTAAACAAAATTTTTTTTTTGCTTTTCAAATAAAATGCTTTAAAAAAAAACCCATGCACGTCTTTCTTGGCGTGGTGGATGACAAAAAAATCATTGCCGCGGTGTCTCACAAACATCAACCGTGCACGTCTTTCTTGACGTGGCGGGTAGGCGGTCTCTTGGTTTTTCCCCTAAACGGGGGAGACGTCGAGAGGCTGCCGGAATTTTGTCCGAAATAAGATAAGGACTTGGACAATTTGAGACTTGTGGACTTGCAACAAATGACTTAAGTGAACTCAAACATAAAGATTGCTATAACCTGAAACTTGTACTTTGGACATGAATTGTACATTTGAAATCAAGCAAATACTTGAGTTGGGCTACAAAGAACTTGAAAAGGATCTTAATTTGAATCTAAGTGAATGGTAAATTCAAACTAAATCCAAACAACTTGAAGCTTGATTTGAATTAGATGACAAAGACTTGCAAATTCAAGTTTTACTTAAACAATCACAAGATCTTAAATCATATGCAAGAGAACTCGAATCCGGATTTGAACCAAGTGTAAAGGGCTTTGAACTTGCAAGAATTGACTGCAAAAGACATTGATTTGGACCTAATATGAACTTGAAAGAATTATGTAAAAGATCATAATTGAGCTTGGACTTGGGCAAATAAGGTGGAATTCAGATTTGACTTGAATAGTCAAGAAAGAAGACTTGTAAACAAGATTCAAGTCCAAATGGTAAATAAGCATGCGAGTACCAAATGAAGAGTCTGGACCATCCAAGTAAACATCAGTCAATTGACAAAAGATTTGTGCCAAATTCGCAAGCCTACATGATTTGTTCACAAGCAAGTGAACAATAGAGAGGCTTGAACAATCAAAATAAAGGATCTCTTGCTATTCAAGCATCACCTTTCTTCCTCTAATTGAGAAAATATAAGATTTGTGACACTCAACATGGCTCATCTACATGCAAGCAATCATGAACGTCTGTTACAAACACACGATCAAGATGCAGCTAGATGTATTGAATCCTACAAGCAATGAGGGTCAAAATGTATGAAGGAATCAACGATGAGTGGAGTTCATCCAACATTCATCATACACATTGCAACGAACTCCTACAACAATCCCCACAATGCCTGTAGATTGAGAGGGCAATACTTGCATTTGGTAGTGGAAGATACGTCCCTACAAACAAGTGCAAACATCAACCCACCTGAGATTGGTGAAAAGTGGATATGATGTAGGGACAACGGCTCTTCTATGGATATCTCCAAGAGGTCGTAGTGGATACAACGGTCCCCTGCAAATGAATACTTATGGATAACAACATTGAGTACCTCGTAAGCACAACGAACCACTGTGAGCACAAGTACAAATGTCACCTATGACAATGGTGATTAAAAATCTACGAGTACGCGGGTATAAGGGCGACTCGATGTACAGAGAATATCTACTAGCATAATGGAAGAGATGTTTGAACAAATTAGAACTAAACTTCATGGTGTTCCAAATTTTCTTCTTGGTTCTATCCTTAAAAAGAAAATAACTCTTGTATCAGTAGACACTGGAAATAATAAGTCTACTACACTGGTGATCTTGGAAGGAGTCCCTTTTCAAGGCAGTGGCCACAAATTTCAAAGAAGACCTCTCCGGTGAGTAAGAAAGGGGGAGTCAACATCAAGATGAGGAGATTCCTCATAACTTCAAGACCACACCACCACCGGATCCGCAACACTCATATTAGCGGACAAAATGCGTGTATAAGCTCTCAAATGAAAAGTTGTGTACACTCAAATGATAATTACCTGCACAACTATAATTATTTCAATGTACCCCTACACATGCACCGTAATTTGTATACACATAGGTCCAAAAAAAGGGTAAATACAATCATAACCTGTATGGGCTCCATTGAGCTTGTTATTGGTACACACGTGACGTCTAGGGATGTTGCGCGGGTCAATAAGTGGATTCAAGTTCGAACCCGATCCTCCTAAACAGTTAAATAGGAGCCGACAGGATTCGAAATTTCAAACAAATACACGGTTGTGACGATCGGTGTATTTGTTTTAATACATTCATATTAGGCCTTCAAGGTCTATAATCAAGAGAATTCATTAAACAAAGGCATGAAGCCTACGAAGCCCGATCCTCCCAAGCAGGTAAATAGGAGTAGACAGGGTTCGAATCATCGGATTAATATGCAATCACGAAATTGACTGGAATATTTATTTTATACATTCATATCAGGCCTTCAAGGCCTTTAACAAAGAAAATTCACAAACAAAGGCATGAAGCCCGAGAAACTCGATCCTCTGTTGACAGCTCAATAGAGTTGACAAGGCTCATCCACAAAATACAAATATTTTCAAATGAATGATCCCAAATACCCCGATGATGGCCGCGTTGATTGAAGATCTCAACTGGAGGGATTAGTTTCAGGCATTTTCAAATGCCACCTCAAATACCCACAAAGTCCAAAAATCCCAAAATTTCAAGATATTTAAATTCAAAATCATTCAGTTACTTAAAGCAAAATTCATCCACCCTCCACAATAGTTTGCCGGGTGGACAAATTAAAAACTACTTCAGCTCTCAAAGAGCTAATGCCTAATCGAAAATATCACTATGATCCATTATCAAACAATCTCCTGCCAATAAGGACGTGGTACGTGTCCTCTAACCGGCGGTTTTGCCGCCAAATGGCACCGCAGGATAAAAGGTTGTGACCCGGGGCTTTCTGAACCGAGTGGTTTTGCCGCCAAATGGCACCATGAAATACCGGTTATGGCTAGAGCCAATACGTTCTTTATTGACATCAAATCCTTGAGATATGAATTAATATGATATGATCAATAGAGCACAATGCCCTCTGTTAGCTAAGGTGGATTCAAATTTGTCCCCTTTGGCAAATATCCATCCCAGGTCTACAAGGTCCCCTTGGACGAAGCAACCCATGGCTGCCGACAAGGATTCTTCTGTTAGGTTATGTCGACTACCTCCTCTGACTAAGTAGACTAGGGACCACGATGGCCTAGGACGACGGAACCATGGGATCTTGATCGGGTCCCCAACCATCTGCTTTAAGTGCAAGATGGTGAAATTTCTAATTTTAAATATCAAATCTCCAAATTCCCAAATTCTCCAACTATTCCAATTGCCCATGCTGCTACTATGCCAGATAACACGTATATTTTACGTATCTGATTGATGACTAGCCTTAATTGAAAGTTCTCTCTCGTTATCGGGAGGGGTAATTAACTATAGGGGCTTGCGCCTATAGGAAACCATAACTCAGATCATAAAGTCATCGCAAAATGAGGGCGAAATCTCTAGGTAGTGTCGTTTATATAAACCCATCTGCCTTCCAAAATTTACCCCAGAACTAATTTCGTTAAAACTCCACCCGCCAAAAGAAAAAGCAAACAACAAGCGGGCGGAGGCCGGGGCCGAATTTTCGGAGCCCACAGCTAGGAACGTATATTTAGAGAATTTTCATTTACTTTGAATATATGTATCTGTTTTGTAAAACAAGAATAGATTTTGGTTGGCTTTGAGGAGAAATGTTTGTGCCTGTCATGGTTGTTATCAAGATATTGTAATATGGAAGTGACTAGTATTAAAAAGTACTTGTGGAGTGAAACTTTTTAATCACAAAAAGAATTTACATTAATGGCAATTTTGAACTCCACATATTTGTATTATTTATGAAGGTTCTTGTGACAAATATTTAAAATGTGATATTGTTATGTACTATTTGTAAAGGATTTGATCCTAATTGATGAGACTAGCTCACAAGTAAGCTGATAAGTAGGATAATTGAGGAAAGTTCTTGAAGATAAGGGGTTCAAGTTCGATGGATTAAAGAAGGGGTACATGAGAAAATAATATTTCTAGGAAATATGTATTAGATTTATTTAAAAGGGTTGAGCATCAAAATGAGGAATTGGAAAGTACTTGTAAAAAGATCTTCTGTTCTTGTCTTGCTGCACTTCTATGTTAGAATGTCTCTTTTTAAGGAAAATAAACATTACTCGTCATATCATTTATTAGTTGATTCCCTTCTGTTTATCTTTGTAACAACTGAACTTCTGATACTTTTTGGCTTGTATTGTGTATTTTTTCTTTCTTTTTCAAGGTATTCTTCATCTAATACATTCTTTTAACCAAACTCTAAATTTGCGCTAACCTTTTCTTTTGGTGTGCTTGAACTGCGGGTTCATTGCATGTTGTGATTTAGTATGGAGGAGGCCCGGCACTGGCTAGTGATGATTTCTGTATTGCTTGTCTGAAGAATGCTGCCGAGAATGCTGTAAATGCAGATGACTACAAGGAAAAAAGAGCTCTTTTAAGGAATCTTGCTGAAGCAGCTTTGGCCGGAGATTGTCTAGATGGCACTGCATATTATGTTTCCAGGCCATGGTTTGGTTTTCTTTCCATTTTGTCTTATTTGTTTCTCTTGTTCTACCATAATAAGTGCAAATCTAGGATTTTGGTCTCACCAAACTTTAGTTAGGCATGCTGTTTTCTCTTTGGACATCGTGATTAAACTATAATTGGTCAACTTGGTGTTTTTAAATGAAAAATTCATTAAGCCATACATATGAATAGGAAAACCATTATTGATGCATTCAAATCCCAAAATCTTCATGTCCTCTTTTTTAATCCATGAAGATCTAGTGATCTTCAATGGATGGTTCTCACTCAAGAGTCCATCGAAGAAGACGAGTGTTGGTTGGATTATCAGATTTGAGGCAGATATCCCCTATGCATGAAACTTGCTTTCATATTTGGACCCATTTCTTCACCTATATCAAATCCTAGATTTCATATGGATCTTCTAAATCAAAAAGTCATGCACTCATTCAATTCCACAAGTTGCATTTGATTCCTATTAAGGGGCTATTTGGTTGCTTGAAAAAGGAATACATTGGAATGCGGTGTAAATGGAATACTTTGGAGTTATTTAGATGATTGTAAATGGAATGCATGATATTATTTTTTATTTTTTATAATTTGAAGTAAAATGAATGTAATGTAAAGTGAAAAAAGGTTGTGGCTGACGGTAAAGGGCAGTGAAGTATGGTTGGCGGTGGTCCGTGGTGGCCGGCCAGAGGGGTCCGGTGTTGCCGGCCAGTCTTGGGTTTTTTCAAATTTTAAAGTAAATAAATGAACCAACTAATTATTGAAATTTAAAACAAATCATAATTAAATATAAGCAATTTCTAAAAATACAAAATCAGCCCTTATGGGCTACTTAATAGATTATACCAAAATTAATCTCAAGTCATATCGATGTTTTTGCCAATTCAAATGAATCAAAACACTCTAAAATATGAACATCCTTAGGAATTCCCTTTTCTTCATCATAGTGTTTGGAAGCTTCTCAACGTCGCAAACATTTCACCCCATTAACTTTACAAGGTTTATTGGAATTATCTCACTTTTAGATAACCTTAGGGTCATTTTTATTCAAGTTGAATCAAACTCAACTTGAAGCTTCCTCTATTTAACATTTCCTTTTTAGATGCTTTCTTGGGCTCTCTTGAAGGTTTTCAAATAACTTTCTAAAGAGTTCAAAATAACACTATCCTAAGATTCATTATTCTATTTGTTTGAGCCAAAATTTATCAATAGCTTCGATCATGCATAGGACCCAATCATAGCTTTCTTTACTTGATTGATTCAATTAATCAAGTTACATCCCATTCATTTGAACCAAAAAAGTTCTAGAATCTCTCTTTAATTTGTAGTCCTAAAACTATTTTTGAATATTTGAAAGTCAAAGTTAGGGAATTTATTTTAGGAATAAAAGGAGAGATTGATTGTGATCTACTACTATTATTTTGTTTACTAATTAAGATATTTATTTTAGGAAAGAAAGGAGAGATCAATTGTGTTTCTAATATATTTCTATTTTTAATTTTTGGAAAAAATTCTTCTCCTATGATTTTGTTTCCTAAATTTTAGGATAGAATTAAGCTAATTAATTATTTCTTTTATTAAATTTTTTAGTTTATATGCGTGGATGCAATACCTTTTCTAAACAAGAAGAATAATAAATCAAGAGATTCTTCATGGTATTAGAGCTAGTTTTCTAAATCCTAATACCTTTAGGCGCCTCTCTCTAGTAGAATCTTTGGTCATCTCTTCTCTATTTCTTAGGCTGATTCTCTTTGATCGATTCTTTTTGGTCAGTAGTCATCCCGACCTTCTTCTTCTATACAAAGTAAAGGTATTAATATTTATATCTTGCTATAAAATCCAAAGTCTAAAAAGCATATATACAATAGCTACTATTGGCTACAAAAGTATGCATATAATCCAAAGAACTTAAAATAAAATCAAAACATCATTACTGCTAAGCTTCAATTCACAGACTCCTTCCCTTTATAGGGAAGCATGTAAAAACTATATAATGAGATGACAAAGCTTAGCAAGTAATCAAAACTCACCATCTGCCTTTAATGCAAGATAAAAAAATCAATATATATTCGCAAATTTTAGTCAATATCAATCAATAAGCTATCAATATGAATGATTATCTATGTAATCAATATCAATCAATGGTAAAAATCAATATGATAAGCAAAACAGGAGATTCTCAATAAGAAAAAAGTGTCTATCAATCTATAAGAAAATTGAGAAAATTTCTATAAATCTATAACAAGGTTGCAGTGAAGCAAACATTAGTTATCTATTAGTTATAGTAATATTGATGATTCTATTATATGTTTCTATTAATCATTATGCGATGTAGTCTATCAGTTTGCTATGTCTACCTATCTATCAATCAGTTTAATGGATTATCATGTAAATGCAATAATAAATACAATAAGAAGCAAGGCATGTCATCCAACTTTAATGTGATGTTCATCCTTTCGCCTAAATTGTACCCAGTTATGTATCAGTCTTTAATTTAATCCCAACTGTCAACTAATTGATTATCAACATTTGTCTTACGAACTTCATTTGCATAAGCCTTGTGTGTGGATATAGAAATAAAAACTTTCACATCAAATATTAAATAATAAAAATAATTGCATTACTAGTTAGCATATATATAATATCATGGTTAGACATCTTAGCTTAAGTAGTTAATCTGGAAGTCCTCTTTTCTAAAATTATAACAACCAAGCCTATCTTATATATGCATCAAGATCAAGACTGTAGTTGGTATTGCCTTAAATCACGTAAGTTGTAGCAGACCGGATTCCATTTCGCCACTTCGGCATGACCTAGCTACTAACATTCCACTTTTGCTCTAGTGGAATGGGCATTAGTTCCCAAATTGTTCCAAAAATTACCTGAAAGAACTGGAGGAGAGTTACTATTTTAGTTACTTTTTCAGTTATTCCCTATAATTTTCATGAGCATTATGATTATTTCTTCTTATTTTGAGAAAAAAAAAACTTATTGGTTTTGCGAACTTTTATGTCAGTATGCTTTTCTATTTCAGGCTGTTGCAGTGGTTGCGTAGAAAGAATGTTGATTCTCCTTGTGAGTCTGATGCTGGACCAACAGCGGCTCTCACATGCACACATGGCAATCTTCTTCCAGAGCAGGCTACCGGGGCTAAGCGCATACTGGTTCCTGATGCTCTTTGGAACTTTTTTTATGATAGTGCGAGTAAAGTGAGGCCTGAGGATAAATTGGGTTCTGTGGCCTTCCCTTCTTATAGTAAACCCTGTGAGATTTGCAACAGGGAGATGACAGAAGTCGCAAACTTGGAAGATTCCTTAAGGTGCCGCCTTAGTTGCATTTCAATTTCTAAGATGTGCTAGAATTTTTACTCTTCATTCATGCCTTCTTTTTTCTTTTGTAAATCTCAGAGCAGAAAAAAACAGAAAACGGCAGAATCATGAAAAGTTGCTCATTGGGAAGACTTTAGCACTTCATACGGGGTGTAAGTACTTCTTACTCCCTTCTTCATGGCTAGCAAAATGGAGAGCATATGTTACCACTACTGGAAAAAATATATCCTCGACGGGCGAACCTGAAAACTTGGAAGTGATTATTAGTTCACTAATCTGTGAGAAGGTTAGTAGAACACAATGCAAAGACAGTGCATAGGAATATCTCTGAAATGTCCTATCATTTCTATATACTGCTTTCTTTTCATCCTGACATGATGTTGCAATTGGATATGATAGCTTCGACCAGGAATTTCATGAATTTTAAACAACAATGACACCTTTTTGGTCATCAAAAGAGGAGTTGCTACCATATATATATGGAATTACAACATCAAAAATTGTTAGCAGGCGTTTTAAGGATGTTTGATGGATGGATGAAACCTTGATGTATTGCTATTTGTCAATATTTGTTTGATAATAATATGATTAAAAAAATTGTTTTCTATGGACATGTAGTACACAATTCAATTGAATTAGTCAGAAAAGGCCAAATTTTTATAGGCTATCTGAAGGAGTCAAATCAAGCTGAAAAGGAGTTTGAATTGGATCTCCATTTTGAAAACACATTCATTTTTGGCCAAATTTTTTCTATTTGTATTTATATATATTTTCACTCATCTTTTTTTAGTGATATTAGGATATAATTTACTATTAGGTTAGATTTTATTTGAATTTAATTTATTTGATATCATTTTTGTAACCCAATTTCTGTAAATGGGATCTGTGGCTTGCAATTGATTATGATTGTTTATTGATGATTGAGCGTATGCAAATTATTTATGAGACCAATTAAGTATTCTCTTTCTAGATCCAAGTTGTGTTCGGGTATCACTCCAAGTTGTGCCACAACTCGCATCAACACCGTGCCACACATGCATGCATCTGCATACCAATTTTGACAAATTGAAATATATTTCATGCGTCATCTTCACACGTGGATGTCTTGTCCTTTTTATGCTTTTATTACTCACATTTTGCTTCTCTTACATAACCCTCAACCCTCTTGATCCTCATGGTTCCCTTGCTGCAATTCTTCACAATGTTGTGACTCCTTGATGCAAGACAAGCTAAGAGTCCCATCACCAGATCAATTATTAATGTTTTTTTTTTATCTTTTTATTTTATTTTCATGTTAAAAAATAATGTGCTGCACCTTATATTATTTGGAGAGTATTTTAAATATAAAAAAGTTATTTTGAATCCTATAAATCATCCCAAATTAAGAATTTAAAACAAATAATCAAATATTTAATTGAATCCTTTAAAGTGGTGTCGTATTATTTATTTTCATATATGAAGAGATTTTGAGAGGGGATGCCATTATAGTTTATTGACAAATTTTAAGGAAGGATTTTGGTATATTTTCTTATGAATTTTTCTCCTTTTCTACAATGTTTCATGTCCGATCTATATATCAATTGGTTCAATGTAAAACTACTTTGATTTCCTGCAAGAATTTGTGTCTACAAGGAGTTAATGCTTTCAGCTTTAATTTGATTTGCAAATTAACCACAGTTAAGTTTTGTGGTCCCTTAAATATTCATTTTTTTTCTTATTTCTTGTTCTTCTACATTCCCGCCATCTTTCCAAATTCTTAGCTTATCGACCCTCACAAAAATTGAGCCTTTCATTTCCACAAATCCTAACTTTTACACTACACCTGCTTTGAACAGCCCTAAAAAATTGTTAAATTCATAACCATTGATCCAATTGACCTAAAATCTCCTTCATTAGTTAGCTAGTATTCCAAAACTCTGATAGAGAAACCTGCACCCCTTTCCATCAAAGAAAACATGACCATCCATAGCAGGAAAATTTTAGTATGAAATCTTTCCAGAAACTCTAAACTAGTCAACATTTTCCTTGGCCTTTCACGAACCCTTAATCTTAAACCACCACTACAACAATCCTTGAAGCCTCTTAACACATCCCCATCACTTCTTTCTCGCATCCCTTTTACCGACATTCTCCCTCACCCTGCTTTCATAACCCATGCGAAGTGCTAGATTTGAATGCCCACCACGAATTCTTGTTGTCGAGTTATCTCAATTTTTGCTAAACCTTATTGGCAACCCTCGCACTTGCTGCATTTCAATCCCACTGCTGCTGCTTCGCATAGATGCCATAACAATGTCAATTGTCGAGTGAAATCCTTTTCTCGACCTTAATGCCCCTAGCTTTCTTGTCGACCACCACAACCAGCTGTTGGACATCTCTATGCTTCATTAGATGCTCGTAGCCTGTACTACTGTTCTTGATTCTTAATTAAGTTCGTATCTTTTCTCCATCGAGATCTTTTCTGTTAAACAAAGTGGCAGCCACCAGCAAAAACTGTAATTTGCTTCTTAACCTCTATCATCTTTAGTTTCAACAACAATGTTTTAGTGCATACAAAGAGCATCAACATATTATGATCAATGTTATCTTTCCCTCATAAAGTTTGTGCTTGTGAATGTTAATAGACACTCTGATGTTGTCACCAAACAATTTATATATACGCCCAGTAAGTGAGACTTGTATTTATATGATATTCCTACTTTCAATTATTATGTTCTGCGCCATGATCCCTTTCAGAGATTCTTCTACTAGTGTTTCCTAGTGGAGGCATGATATTGATCTAGATCAAGGAAATATGGAAGTCATCCAAAGGGGAGAGATGCAATCTACAATTGAGAAAGATCGTTGGTTTTTAGCCCTAGATAGCTTAAAAATAGTCTACAAAAGTAGCTACGACAATCTCTACGATGCAATGGAAGTGCAAGTGTGCCCCACACACAAGAAGGGGGTGAAGCCCATATGGGAGGACGCATAGGTTAGCACACATAATCCAAACACCATAGAGCTTTTGGAAGAATTATAATGTGGCCATTGACAACAAACAACTCAATAGGATATGATCATACAAGTAGAGTTGCACTCAAAAAACTACAATGCTCAGGGGTAATAAAATGAAAAGGAAGACCAAATTAGGCACCTAGAAAAAGCAAAACATAGATAAAGAAGTAAAAAAGAGAACAACTAAAAATTGGACTCAAACGACAACAAAAAACTACCCACAACAAATTAATAAAATCATCACGGGGAGAAGGCACTCGATTGCTTGAGCAGAAGTAAAGACTATTCAGGCTACAACAAATGGGCAGGACAAAAACTAGTCCTTATTGGCCAGAGGCGACGAAACTGAACAAAGAAGAGGAGAAACCATTGCCGCCAAAGAGGAGAAAAACCCAGCCACAAATTAATGAAAAAAAGAACTGATATCAAGCCAATTGTTCCAACTCAACAATTTGAGATGAGTTGCTTGTTTGATTTCTAAATTGTGGGCATGATTCCCAAAATTTCTCCTATTTCGCTCCCTCCAAATAAAGTAAATCAAGGCAAAAACAAGCAAGAAATAATCATCTTTAACTCCAACATGTAGAATATCATAATCGGCAATGCAATCCAACACTTGTCCAATATTAGGATGAAACTGTTAGGAAGAGGAGGGCAAGATGCTACAAAGAATCTGAAAAGAAAAGTCACATTCAAGTAAAGGTGCCTAACACTTTCGAGTGATGAGGTGCATGGAACGCAATCAGACAACTCATGGATATTAATCTTGAGAAGTATATCTTTTGTTTTAAGCAAAAAAAAAATTGAAAATTGGATGGCATGGTGCCTATGCCATACCCGCCTAGGCCAAGCAAGAGCAATGAGCTGGAATAGAGTGAATGTATAAATGATCTAATACTTGGATTATTTTTTTCTATTCACTTGATACAATTTTTACTTTCAGATAAAATAGGGATTGAAAAATTTGCTAGCCTAATGTTTTGAGGAAGGGGGAGGTAAATTCCAAGCTCCATTATGAATGAAATTCAAAACAATTCTATTAAGATGCGCCATATGTAAGAAAAAGGAGCATCCCTCCTAATCAGCAGTAGACTTTCCATTAATCCAAGGATCCCATAAAAATGAAAGATTATACCCATCCCAAACATTAAACTGAAGAAAGGAAGCCATTTTCTCCAAAGTGGGTGTAAGAGCTTTCCACCACATGGATGGTTTTGGATTTCATAAATTGCAGAAAGATGTATTTTTTCTTTCAAAGGTTGGTGAAGAGAGTCTTTAGTAATAATCCACCAAATAGAAGCACAATTGTAAGTATATGAAGGAAATGCAAGGGATGCCAAGGCCCCCATAGGAAAGGGGTTTACACATATCTGTCCAAGAGACCAGATGGAGTTTTTTGGCATTGATGTCACTATGGAAAAAGAATCTTGCATAGGTTTTGTTAAGAAATTTTATATAGGTTTTAAGAAGAATAATACATTTAATCTAGTAAGCTATAGAATTTACAAAGGTGAACTTTAGGAACTGCAACCTGCCAGGGAAAGATATAGAGACTTGCATTTCCACCCTTCAAGTAAGGAAGAGGCCTTGCTCAATAAACTTTGAAAATCAGAAATATGAAGCTTTTTGGGAGATATGGGAACACCTAAGTATATAAAGGAGGAGGCTACAAGAATGGCGCATAATTCTCCATAATCAATAGTTGCATTAGAGAAAAAAATAGAGCTTTTGGAAGAGTTAATTTTAAGACTGGACACCTTCTCTAAATAAGATTAGATTCTTGATGAGGACATCCGACCTTGGAGAGTCTACCAGAGGCGTGGTCGACGATCTACGACCACAATTGCACCGATTTATTTGTGAGTCATTATATGTATTTAATTTATTTCTACATTTTTTTGTTTGTACCCTCACTTGAGGGGATAGTCATATGTATGCCCTAAGGGTATGTTGGTTTTTTTATTTTTCTTCATTGTATGAGGCTATTTAAAAGTCATCTTATTCTCTTTTGAGTTAATGAATGTTATTACAAAAAATGTTCTACACTTGTTTGTTTTTGGAGAGCTTGAGAGTTCTTGGAGAGATTGAAGTCCCTAGGTGAGGGCACTGCAATACCCACCAACCGCAGGATGCGTCCGGGTTCGTGGTCGACTTACTCCTTCCCCCTCTTACCCTCCCTCCCCCACAAATGGCCGTCCATACTCCCCTTCCTCCCTCTCTCGGCCAAGCCCCACCAACACCTCTACAATCCCGGCTTGCCATCCCAACCCCCACTACTAAGCCGTCGGC